TTTGGAGGAGCAAGGACTGCTTTTGGATAACTTGCACGATGGTGCTGCTTTTCCGAAGTTGTTCCAGCGGTCGCCAGAGTACTATCGACCACACCAATAGCTAGCTCTTTGTTCGGGGTCGCACTTCCGCTCGGAACAAAAGGAGTGGTGGTGCCGGAAAGATCAGAAGTTGAAGTGGCGTGGTCCCGGCTAGAAAAAAAAAATAAGCGAATGTAATCCAATACAGTAGGAACACCCGGACATAAGTTTGCTGAAATCACCATCGGGATTTTCCATTAGTGCTTGGTATGAACCGCATTCGCGAATGATGCCGCGACTTATAAAAGCCAGTTGGTCAAATTGCTTCACAAATGTTATGCTGTTGGTAACCAGAATTCGCGCCTGCGAAGCAAGTATTCCTTGCGGCCCAATAACCTGGTCTATTGGGATATTTAGCATGGGCCGTGGAAACGCAAAAAAAAACTAACCAAACAGGTGACGAGCGACGTGACTATCAACGGCAGCAAGACAATCATCGAGCAGTACAAGATCGGCGCGAGCATAGACGGCCTGAACACCAATTTAGACCACGCGCACTCCGCAAGAGAAGACCGACCCTAGCTAAACTTATACGGGCCTTCTGTCCGCCACTGAGCTGATAGGATGTCAGGGTTATCAGCGAATGGAAACGGCTTCATATTACCGTAATTCCTGGTACATATGTACTGAGCAGTGTAAAGAGGAGGAACAGATAATTTAATTCACCTTTTTCTCCAACCTGAGTGAGATCACCCTTTGGAAGTAAAGCAATATCTGGGCCAAGAGCACAGGCTGCAGCAGGTTCATAAACAAAACTCCCAGATTACGCCAGAGAAAGGCTGTACCTTCTACAACCCTACGATAAAAAGATTCGTCGTACTATTCGGTATAGGTTCAAATTCAGTATAGGTTCAGTTTGGGTTCAGTAGCACTTATGTCGAGGTCTCACCATATGGTTGAAAATAATATTCTCGCGCAGAGTTTCTGACATGATCCTGCGCCGAAAATCAGATCAGGCTGCGAACGGGATTGGCGATATAGCGGACCACGGATTTTGCGGTGCATACGCAACACTGCCGAACAATGTGACCTTTCCTTCACTTCGCGACATATCGCCAATGATGGCGGACAAGAGACTCGTCTTCGGAAACTCAGGCAAAATACAAGAGCAGATGAGAATCACAGACCTTGCCAGCGCCAACACGTCCCATGATTCCCGTAAGCTCCCCTTGGCGAATAACGAGGTTGATGTTCTCAAGAGTGGGCACTACGTCTTTGGAATCCCAGCGGAAATCACAATCTTTAATGTTCAAAACCTGTCGACCAATTAGACAGTTAGGGTCAAGGATTTGTGGGGTACATACCTGATCTCCTTGCTGTAAATTGGGCTTTTGAACGAGATCTCGGACGTCTGGCTGCAGTTCCGGGGACTGGAAAAAATCTGATAGCCGTTTGGCCGACACAAGACCCTCCATGATCTGGCTGATAATCGAACTGATCATGGACAAAGGAAACTGGAGGAGCATGAACACCGAGATCGCAGGGAAAATAATCTCTGAAGTTAATGGCCGGGATCCCGTCGAAGCTACTGCGAAACTCGCAAAAGCGACCAGTAGGGGTACTCCATTCATTAAAGTAGATGTAGTGGACTGTGAATTTGCTTTGTTAATTAGCTGGACAAAGAAAAGAGATGCGAGTGCGAACATTCAATACACCTATTTTTCTCAGCGTTCGCAGTTCCTTCTCATTTCTGACCGCCGAAATCTTCCGTAGAAATGCAGACTCCCATGCATACAGCTTGATAGACTTGATGTTAGCCAGGATTTCGCTCATCAGCCTGGATCGTTGGTCGCGGTTTTTCATTTCTTGCTTGTACAATCCTTTCAGATACCGAGCAATAACTAAACAGAAGCCGTTAAAAAGATATCGAGAATATAGGCACACGTACATGTGGTGAGGGGAAGCGACAAGACCATGACTCCAATGCCGACGAAACTCGCCCACCTGCGAAAAACGAAATGGGAGTTAGACAATTTGAAAGACTTGTACTAGCGCTCACCCGAGAAGGGCGTGAAGAGAAATAAACGCCAGAGTGATCTACAGCGAATTTGCCATTAGTTTTTGGATACGCAGGCGCTAAAAAAAGGAATGGTACCTGAAGGGTGCTAGAAACGGCGAGACCTCCCCAACTGCACAATCCTTGCAACTGGACTGCATCAAGAGACATGAGATTGACCTGGATTGTGTTATCATTTGCATTATGAACGAAGGAAGCCACAAAATCACGATGTCTCCGGACGATTTGCCATGCTTGTCATTTGAAAGAATCAAGGATTTGGAGAAAATTGCTGTTATGAGTCCTGCACGAACTCGGATTCTGGGATTAGTTTCAGTAAGGCCACCAAGTTAAACATTTTATAACTGACCCCGTTTCGAAAACGCGTTGAAAATACTGCGGGTGACCTCAGAACAAACAGAAATACTCGAATTTAGAAAGCGAACCTGATTAACCAGGACAGTCTGTAATACACCAGCAACGAACATCATTATAGCGATAGCGAACCCTTCTATAGGTTTTGGGCCACTGTTCTGATGACGAGAGCTTTGATACCGTGAGATGAACGCCAAAAGTAAACGAAGGAGCTGTGGTTGCAGGAAAGCCAAATTATCCTGGCGCAGGCTGAGAACAAAGTTCAAATATGTGACCAAACGTACTCGAATGAGTTTTATGAAGATGGCCTTCGCATAGGGGCCGCCATAAGCAAGGAAAAGCGATCTCCAGACACCGTACTTGGTCAGATATTCTTCCAGCTGGTTCCCTAAGCTCTCCGATTCGTCGCCTGGAAGTAACGAGGGTAAATCGTTCTCGGAAATGAACGCTCCTTTAGCCAGGAGCGGATTCATCCACCCAAAGGACTGGAATTCATCATGTCAAAACTGAAATGGGAATTAATCAAAATCTGCATACCCATCGACTGAATATGTTGGCAGTTAAAATCGGGTTTTCGTGGATAGATTTCTCGTCCTTGGGAAGTCCAGTCTCGGGCCCAATGCACTCCAGGCCAAATGATGCTAGGCCGAAGAATGCTATGCCCCCCGTGAGGAAAAGGGACTGGCCATTGTGGTCAGCGTCCTTCAAACTGAAGATAGCCAGGGAACTCGAGTAAATTGGCCAAAACAGTAGAAGGATCGAAGAGCTTGTCCTTTGTCGAGTGTGATTATAATATGTCAGGGCAATTGATCCCAGGAGGGCCGCTGGCTCCAGAACGCAAGATACTAGGACAGGGATAGTATTTTGAAGATTGACGACAAAGAAGAGCTTGACGATGCTCGACGCGAGTGCAAAGGAGAGCAGAGTCTGCCAGAACGTCAGAAATCCAGTCAAGTGAAGAAGGCAGAAAAAAATCCGTACAACTTTGGTCCCGAGCAACACTCGACTTTTTGCGGACCGCATTTGCACGTCGACACCACGAAGCAGGAGAGAACTCCGCACACTCCATGCTAGCAGAATCCCGAGAAGACCGGAGTTCAATATTCCTTCCTCGAAGTAGAAGGGAGTCGGACGAAAGCCAGAAAAACGCAAACTCTTCGCGATCCTGTGCATTTCGGCAGCAGCCATCTCAATGCGACTGGATGTCTCAGATGAAAACCAATAAGTCGGCGAGGCCTTTATTTATACTAGCAGCACGACATTCCCTGGGAAACCTGCATCGCTGTTGATCAAAGTTGGTAACACTGCGTTCCCGTAAGTTATTTATAAATTACCGTTATTTAGCGTCAAGTGGATTGAGGGATTTCTGGAAGCGTCTGTCGATCTGGAAACAGTAGTCTTGGATCCTGATGAAGGGAATTGCCAGGTACGATATTCAGTAGAGAGCCTGTTGAAAAATGTAGCTACACTTATACGGGCTTTCTGTTCGCCACTGAGCTGATAGGATGTCAGGGTTATCAACGAATGGAAACGGTTTCATATTACCGTAATTCTTGGTATGTACTGAGCAGTGTAAAGAGGAGAAACAGATCAATTAATTCACAATTTTCTCCGACCTGAGTGAGGTCGCCCTTTGGGAATAAAGCGATATCTGGGTCAAGGGCACAGACTGCGACAACACTTGATAAAAAGGTCAGTTCGCTGCAGCAGCACTGTTGGACCCGGCGCGATTTTCAGGGAAGGAGCTGGACTTGATACACGAGCGGCTGACGTTCGAGGAGATCGCGGCGCATTTGTCGACGACGTTGGGCGCGGAGGTGAAGGTCAAGTACCGCACGGAGGAAGAGACGGCGGAGGCAAAAAAGGTGCTGCCCACGATCGAGAGCCAGCTCTGGGCGCCGACTATCAAGCACCCGGATCCACCCCAGCTGGCGGAGTACGGATTTCGCTTGACGACGCTCCAGGAGTTTTTGGAGAGAGAAAAAACTGCCATCAGGAAGACAGTGGGAATCGAGGCGTAGTGTAGAAAATTGGAGTCGCCTTTGTAAGTAGAATCATCTGCTATGATTATGTGGGGAGTTATATTAGAAGAGACAGATGAATATTGAGAGTTCAAACTTTGTTAAAGAACGCGTCGGTATTAAAACTACAGTCTAAGCTTTGCTCCATTCGCTCCATCGCTCCCCACCAGAAATACTGTATGGGCGAAAGGGCTTGGGCAGTCTTTCTTGCTTGTATATCCGATCTGATGTTGCACCGTTTCAATAGTTGCTGGCCCAGATGAGAGCTCAGTGCTGGCTGAACTCGGAGTGGCTATGTAGAATAGTTTGGTCTAGATAGGCATCATCCTGCAAATTTGTCAGCATCTTATCCTGCGCTCAACGGAGGGTCTCCTTCGCTGTGATTGTTGGGCCTCTCCCTTGCCTCCCCTCACTCCACAAAAGATGCAATCCACAAAGATGATGCTTCAAAAGTTGAGTCTCACAATTTTTCTTATTCCGTATGGACTCTAATGAGATCAAAAGAGCAACTTTGGCATCACTCTGTATCCGCCCTCGTAGCCTAATGGTTATGGCGTCAGACTTCTATTCCCACGGTTATCTGGAGGTTGCGGGTTCGAGTCCCGCCTAGGGTTTTTTCCTACGTAGCTTCTTTTTGTGCCGAGTATTTGACAAAAGTGCATTGTATTGGGTTTTATCTGCATTGCCTGTAGTTTACTATCTTACTTTTTTTTTTAAAAAAAAAGAAATATATCTGCATAGAAACTAAGACTCAGGCCAGAATCAAACTGGCAACTTCCACGCGATTTTGCTAGCAGAGACTGCAGATGCAGACCATCTGTCATCAAGTCTGTACAACACTCGATAATGAGCCCTAAATTCACTGGACAACAATATTCAATATTCATCCTGCCAATTTATGGGTTCAACTACATCACCGAGACCAGTAGAGTCAAATAAACTGTAAGAATGTTGCGTTATCTTAGTTTCCAACTGCCTTTGTCTCAAATTGCTCAGTGAGTGCCTCTGTACTGAAATACTCAATGAATACACCCTGCAAAACTTTCAAAATTATATTAAAAAAGTTGGCCCTTAATTAAGACTTAGGTCAGAATTGAACTGGCATAATGGGTGCCTAAGTCCACAAGAATAGCAGATGCAGACCATCTGCCACTGAGTCTGTACAACACTCTACAGCAAGCCTTAAATCTACCAATGGACAACAATATTCAATAGAGAGGTTGTGCAAAGCCACCCGCGGAGCCTATCAGTCTTTTGACATTTTGATTGTGCTGTTTCACGTGTTTTTTGGCGTTTGTGTGTTGTCCTCCAAACTTATTTGATGCTAAACACAGTGTATATCCAATGAATGTTTCTGAAATTCCCTATGGTGGTTGGGATGGATATGGTAGCCCTATAGGAAGTTCAACGCCGCAGAAATTATCATCGGTTCTGGTGTATCGGCCGAAGTTGATCCGGTGTTGTGAGAATTTGGCCAAGAAATTGTTGGCGTTGCCGTGTTTTGTGATTTGGCAGGGTGTTGGGGCTGTTGCATGTGTTTTTTGGTGTTGTACAACACCACAACGAAAATGTCAAAAGACTGATGAGGTGTGCTCTTTTGCTTACATACATCACCAGACCTGTTGATAGTACCCCCTGGGACCACTGGAGCGGGGGGAAAAAAGCCACATCAAAAGATGTTGCACAACCAAAAGCCACATGCAGCTTTTGTACAACCTCTCTAATATTTATCCTGTCATTTTATGGGTTCAACTACATCACCGAAACCAGTAGAGCCAAATGAACATTGAAAATGTCGCATTATTCTAATTTACAACTGCCCTGGGCTCAAATTGCTCAGTGAGCGCCTCTATACTGAAATACTTGGAATATGCCTGCAAACATTTCAAAATAAATAAAAAGAGCATGAGGATAACTGGAAAGACTCGGCCAGAATCAAACTGGCAACTTTCACATGATCGTGCTAGACACCCAAAGAAAGCATTGCAGATGCAGGCCATCTGCCACGGAGTCTGTACAGTTCTGCAACCAACCTCAGTAACCTTAACTATAATAGCCGATAGCAGTTTCCCGGAGAAGTAAACGACAGGTTACCGGAAGAGTTGGAGCTGCATATTGATTGCTTGAACTTGAAGCACCTGTCGTTAGTGTCTTGAAAAAAAGACGGTACAACAGAGATTCTCCTACCCAACAAAAGTGCCTGCTCGTAGACAGACACTTAAACAGAGATGCTTAAGTATATTACTGTCGTCGCACCTGACCAGCTGGAGTCTGTACAAGTTATATGTACAAGAGCTTTTGTGTCCCGTTCATTTACAACTGGACTGTTTGCTTGAGCGTTGATTAGAGTTTGTATCTCACATTCTGGATTTGTTCTGGATACTGAGACTGATATTACTAACCGGCCCGGCCGTTCCGCTGTCAAACATGAGAGCCTGAGGTCCTTACGGCCACTGCCCTCTTCTTCTCATATCGTTCTCTGCCATCACTTCGTGTGGCGTCAAAATTTTGGATATCCCTGCTAAAGGACACTGGACACTACTGGACAACTGTGGAGAAGTTGAATATCCACTGCGTAGGGTACTTATTCTGTTTCCTGCTTTGGCTTTCCACGACCTCATTCTGGAAAAAACTCAGGTGCCCACATATGCCTGGATACTTTAGGTATCCGGGTCTTACAGGTTGTGGAATTGTCTTTATAGGAGATTTTTCCTTTTTTTTCATCCATCAATTTTTCTAAGTGTATAGCCACATCATTTACCACGGTCTCCGTGGACCAGTTCTGAGTGTAGATTTCATGGGCGTGTAGAGTAAACTTTATATTTCTCCTCGATTGTTGGCACCATTTGCAAATTGGTCGCAACACTCCAGTCCTGCATGTCGACACACTGTTCCGTCAGATTCGTCGCCACAAGCATGTCGCAGTCTTCGTTCTTTGCCACAGTGCAACACTGCGCCGCACTGCAACACCTAATCAGTCTGTCAGCAGGGGGGAAAAAATTGTCGGCACTGATCGAGGAAGTCACAGCAGCTCAAAGTAGTGCTATAAGAGTAAACTTGAAGGTTGTAGTAAGTGACATTTATGGAGAAAGTTGTTCTTGGGGCAGTGAGCAGCTCGGGGACCCATATTGTACTTGTACTCGTAGATATTCAAAATCAAAATATATATATATTAGAGTAAGAAGACAGTACACCCCTTGCATCGAAATCAGACCCGTTTGCAAGTGGGTGTGGATTGGTGGCCTATCACATCAGTCACTGCAATGTAATAGAACCATCTACACTACAAGTGGACGAGGGCGAGGGAAGGATAGTGTGTGTACAAAGGACACTCGCCTCGTCCTTGGTAAACACAGTGGACCCGCAGCCAAGGTAGTCGTCCTTAGTGTGTGACACGGGTACGGGGATACCCGCGGTGTAACGGTCACGGGTGTCACGGGTGCGGGTACAGTATGTGAATTTTTCAAACCCGCAACTACTGCAACCCGTGATGGTACTGTACCTGTAATACCACAGTCATATTTTTGCTATAATACCTACTCTAAATACTCATTTCATCACTCATATTGAAAGAACTATACAAATACTAACATATATTGAGCTTAGCAACTACTAGAAATTGCCAAAATCTCGCATCAAACAGAGGAAACCGTTTCCTCTTGTCATGTGACCGATTTCCAGTCACATGAGGAAAGCATTTGAGTGTAATATAACCCCGGGAAACTAGGTACACTCTCATTCATTAATGTACTGGTGCTTCTATATCATAATATACCTCAATATGACTACTATTCTTGAATGAAACAAAAATAATACCCCAACAACCGCAGTTAATACCACAGTAAAGAGACCCGTGGGTTTACAGACATTACCACGGTTCTGTAACCGTATAACCGTACCCGTTTTCCCACGGGTACGGTGTCACGGGTCACGGGTGTGGTAGCTGTCCAATCCACCCGCGGTGTCACCCGTGTCACACACTAGTCGTCCTTGAGGTCGCGTAGCGATTTTTCAAACCGGATGTGATGATTAGCCTAACAATTATTATTTTCAATGCGAACGCCGAAGGGTGTGTTTGAAGGACAAGCAGAATCATCGTGTTTGAACTTACATACTTGTTTTCAAACAAGTGTGAACAACGGGTATCCAGGCACCGCCCGGCAGGGCCATTCCAACGAATAAATGAATTCTCTGGGTGCAGATGTGCTTGGGGACAAAAATTCCAGATCTGGTGATCTGGTTTGAGTCTTGATTTTCCCAGTGGGCAGCGCGGTAGAGTCTTCACTCGTTCTTTGTGAGTGTCAAAACTATACCGCTGAGCAAAAGACACCTGTCAGCCTCGCTGACGAGCGAGCCCATCTTGAATAAAAATGTATAGCATAGATGGACGGGAACATGTATAGTGACGGGCCCAGCCGCCCTCGAAAGCACTCAACTCCCCGTCGAAAACGGGAACACATCTGACTCAGAGGCGTCGACAAAACCACCATGTCGCGCTGCACAAGTTCAAACAGTGTTCAACAGACTTTGTATTGAATACTGCACCTGACAATTCTCTTCATCAGGATCCAAGACTACTGTTTCCAAATTGACAGATGCTTCCAGAAATCTCTCAATCCAATGCTAAGTAACTTACGGGAATGCAGTGTTACCGACTTTGATCAACAGTGTTGGCAATTGTGAGTTTCCCAGGGAGTTTTGTGCTGCTACTAGTATAAGTAAGGCCTCACCAACTGATTGGTTTTCATCTGAGACATCCAGTCGCATTGAGATGGCTGCTGCTGAAATGCACAGGATCATGAAGAGTTTGCGTTTCTTTGACTTTCATCCAGCTCCGTTCTACTTCGAGGATAGAATATTGAACTCTGGTCTTCTCGGTATTCTGCTAGCACAGAGCGTGCGGAATTTCGGCAGTCAGAAATGATCATGAGAAGGAACTGCAAACTCCGAGAAAAATAGGCTTATTGAATGTTCACACTGGCATCTCTTTTCTTTGTACAGCCAATTAAAAAAGCAAATTCACAGTCCACTACGTCTACTTTAATGAATGGAGTACCCCTATACTGGTCGCTTTTGCGAGTTTCGCAGTAGCTTCGACGGGATCCAGGCCATTGACTTCAGAGATTATTTTCCCTGCGATCTCGGTGTTCATGCTCCTCCAGTTTCCTTTGTCCATGATCAGCTCGATTATCAGCCAGATCATGGAGGGTCTTGTGTCGGCCAAATGGCTATCAGATTTTTTCCAGTCCCCAGAACTGCAGCCAGACGTCCGAGATCTCGTTCAAAAGCCCAACTTACAGCAATGAGATCGGGTATGTACCACACAAATCCTTGACCCCAACCGCCCAATTGGTCGACAGGTTTTGAACATTAAAGATTGTAATTTCCGCTGGGATTCCAAAACCAAAAACATAGTGCCCACTCCTGAGAACATCAACTTCGCAAAGGGGAGCGTACGGGAATCATGGGACATGTTGGCGCTGTCAAGGTCACGGTGATTCTCATCTGCTCTTGTGTTTCGCCTGAATTTCCGAAGACGAGTCTCTTGTCCGCCATGGCCCATCATTGGCGATATATCATGAAGTGAAGGGAAGGTGACATTGTTTGGCAGTGT